CAAATATTTTTGAAGAGTTTTCAGTAAAGGGGAGCAGAAAAATGTTGCTGGAAGAGAACATGGGATTGAGGGAGGACATTTATTTATTTTAAGATGGGACAGAGGTTGACGGAAATGATCCCATAGCAAACTGCTGATGCAGAAGAGATAGGGAGAACTGGGGAGCCTTGTAGTTACACAGGAGAAGGATGAGAACTAGTGCCCGGGTGGAGGGGCTCACCTCGTCGGTAAGTACGTAGGCAGCGCATCTATGGTAACAGGAGGGATAGGAGTTTATGGAAACAGCTGCATGTAGGCGGTAGAAGCATGTAGAAATTCTCTTCAGATTGCTTCTATTTTCTCCATGAAGTTGGAAGCAAGACCACCAGCAGAGTGAGGAGAAAGGAAGAATGGTTGGAGGTTGGAGGAGAGAGGAGAAGGTAAAAACAGCTTTCGGGGAAGATGGGAGAGTGCACAGAACGGAGGAAATGCGGGAGCATTGGTGGTTAACACAAAGGATCTTTGAGGGGCATGAATTTAAGTGAGACCACTCAGCCTGGTTTTCCAGCACGGTCCTTTGTTCCTTGGGCTACTTGGGTACAGGCTGGAGAAGCCACAGGGGTGGGGTTTTGCTGGATGAATGTGAAGGGAGACAGGAACCAGGAAGTTGGTGTGTGCAAGGAATTGGTGATAGTGATAGATCGCAGAATCAGAGCAGGGTAAGGAGGGAGAGCTGAATGTGATGAGCAACAAAAAGGAGATAGTACCAGTGAATAAGAGACAAGGCCAACTTATTCACAGGAGACACAATGCCTGAGGTCCAGGTTACTTTTAGGGGTCTACAAAATGTTTTAATTTTATTTTAAAATTAGAAGAAAAGATGAATATAATAACAATGAGTACACAATAATGAATCCAGCCAGGATTGTGTTCATCTTTATACCAGTGCAATCATAAAATATAATTTTTATTTTTATTTTTATTATTTTTTAAATATTTTATTTATTTTTGAGAGAGAGATAGAGACAGCATGAGCAGGGGAGGATCAGAAAGAGAGGGAGGCACAGAATCTGAAACAGGCTCCAGGCTCTGAGCTAGCTGTCAGCACAGAGCCCGATGCGGGGCTCGAACTCACGAACCGTGAGATCATGACCTGAGCCGAAGTCTGACGCTCAACAGACTGAGCCACCCAGGCACCCCTTAAAATATAATTTTTAATACCCTTTTGCAGAGGGACCCATGAGGATGAAGTGCCCAGAACCCACAAAAATTGTAATGTGGCCCTTATAAGTGATCCCAGCGGATCCAATTCAATACTGGTGGAATGCATTTGTAATGGCAAAAAAGTAAACATAATCTAAATATCTAGAATTGTTTGAGTCCTGGTACTAAAGGTCAGGAGCTGAAAACAGAAGAGTTGATAATAAGAAAGCATGGTACAGGGTGCCAGATTGGGTCAGTCAGTAGAGTGTGTGACTCTAAATTTCAAGATCATGATTTTAAGTCTCATGTTGGGCATGGAGCCTACTTAAAAAAATAATAATAATATATTAATTTTAAAATAAAGAAAGTATTATATTTAAAACTGAGATTATAAAGTATGTGAAGCTACTGATAGTATAAAGGTTTTGATGACCATCCTTCCCATTGGTGGAGAAGAAATCAGGAAATGGAAGCCATTTTTATCAGTTATCTATTGCCATATTAATGAGCTACTCCTAAATACAGTGGCTTAAAACAACCACCATTGGGGCACCTGGGTGGCTCAGTTGGTTAGGTGGCCAACTCTTGATTTTGCCTCAGGTCACGATCTCATGGTTTATGAGTTCGAGCCCCAACTGGGGTTCTGTGCTCGCAGTGTGGGGGCTGCTTTGGATCCTCTGTCTTCCCCATCTCTGCCCCTCCCCCACTTGTGCTCTTCTCTCTCTCTCAATAATAAATAAGTGTTAAAACAACCACCACTACCACCACCATTTATCTGCTCATAGTTTGGTAATATGGGCTCAGCGCAGTAGTTCTTTTGTTGATCTTGCCTGGGCTCATTCATGTGGCGGCTGTCATCTGGATGCTTGACTGGAGATGGGTAATATGACCTCATATGTCTGGTGGTTGTTGGCCAGGGCACCTCAAGTCTCCAGGGAGCTTCTCAAGTTCCAGTAGGTCAGACTGGACTTCTTTACATCATGTGGAAGTTTCTAAGAGGGCAAAGAGGCAAGCTGCAAGGTCTCTTGAGGCCCAGACTCTGGGGACTCACACAATGTCATTTCATTAGTCGAGGCAAGTCAGAAGACCAGCCCAGATTCAAGGGGTTAAAGAAACAGACTCCACTTCTTGCTGGGAGGAGCAGCAAAATCACTGCAAAGGGTCATGTGGGACAGGAGGAAGTGGAGTGGCCATCTTTGCAAACAAACTTATCACACTTGTTGGAAGAATTGTCTATGTGATACTGAGCCATCAAGAATCACCAAGAATTTGATGCCAGTGGGAGTAAAGAGAGTGGCGACAAGCCAGGTGCTAAAATCTTCAAAGCGCGAGGGAGTAAGCGAGTTATGTAATCTGATGCCATGGACTTCAAATATCTGTATTGTCTCATTGGTGAATGTCCATGAATTTCATTAATGAAAAGGAACTGTTCATTTTTCACAACCTCTTTGACTCACTCATCCATTTAGACTCCATCTTAAGAAAGGAACTTAACCTTGGAAAAAACTGTATGCGTGAAAATTTGTGGTGCTACTATTTATCTGGGAGCCATATTCCCAGTGTGACATTGATGCCTGGCAGTAGTAGTAGCGCATAGATGCTCAGTAAACATTTGTGGAATGAATTCATAATGGCAAAAAATGTGTAACCTAAATATTCAATAATGAGGGCTAGATTAAATAAAAATTGCGGTATATCTATTTAATGGAATACCATGCAGCCATAAAAAATTATACCTTTGAAGCTATCATTATATGACACACAGTTTAAAAAAAGCAGGATACAATATTGCAGGTACTATATAAAAACATCTGGACAGGAAAAGTGTTCAAAACAACAGTGGCCAGGAGGATAATGGATGATTTTTCTCTTGACTTTATTCTAAAAGTTTTTTAAACATTATTGCATTTCTTTTATAATAATAAAAAAAAGTACGTTTTCATTGTGGAAAAGGGGAAATGCTTCAAAGCATCAATAAGAAAAAATAATCTCTCATTCCATCATTCAGAAAAAAAAAATCACTGCCAACAACGAGATAGGTTCTGCTTTGTTCTTGCCCCCCTCCCCCCAGCACACACACTTAACATATTCTTAGCTCTCTGGACGTCTTTGGACTCCAAAATGTGATTTTTTAGTAGTCACATAGTGTTTACATACCATAATCTATTTGGCCTACAGTGTAGGTCGTTTGCAATTTTTCACGGAAACAACAACAGCAACAACACTTAAATGAATAATTAGAGCCATGGCATTACTTAAATTCAGAAAGCTCCTCAGAAAAGAGATGATCAGAGTTTCGGGGAAGTTGCCTAGAGAGATGGTGTGGGTGTGGCTGTTACGTCCAATGGAGGCTGCAAGAAAAATTCGTCCCCGGGGGGCTCCACCCTTGTGTTGGGGGTGTCTGTAGGCAGCTGCTCTACTTGGGCTAGGGACTCCTCCTTCCAGTGTTTTGAAATTAAAGATGGTGAAATCTTGAGCTGAAGCACTAGAAGATGGGCCACGGCGTCCTTGCCCTCTGCCCTCTTGCCCTTCAAGAACAGGAAATTGTTTCCTTGCACAGGTGTCTCTGCGCCATCAGCCTGGAGTGGTCCTTCCCCCACCCCCAGATTAACTGTCTCAGTGTGAGCTCCGGATTGGGCAGTTGACAATTAGCCTGAGTTCAAGAATGGATATGACCCGAGTACAGAAGTGGGAAGTTGCTGGGGGCACATCTACAGAAGTCAGGGGCGTTCCCAGTCCCAGTAGTGGTCGTAGAAAGGAATGGAGCGGAAAAGACAGACTTGACGGAGGGAGGGATGGAGTGGGGGCGCGGTGCGTCAGGCTGATCCTTAGATTAGCAAGGGTCAATCCTGGAAGGCTGTGGATGGCAATGAAGAAAAGCGGAGGGCGTGGAGGAGGAGTAGGGCAGACCGACGAAGCAGGTGATTGATGTAGGATTTACAAACGGAGGAGGCGTGGGCTGGTGACAGGAGGAGGGCCTGGAGCCGCAAGGGTGCCCTGAGCGTACATGGGATATAAAAGAGAAGCGTGATGGGAAGCTGACTGGCGAGAGCAGAGGTGGGGCACTGGGTGAGGGGCGCGGGTCAGGATAGCGGGGATGCAAGATGGGAGAATAACGGCTGTGCACATTTGGCCGGCACTTGGCAGTCTGCTTCCATCTAGATCCCTCTAATTTCCTCCTTTCGTTGAAGAAAGCGAGGTTCGGAGAGGTTAGGTGGCAGCGGTGGGTGGAGGCCCCGGGGGGCGCGGGGGCGCCGGGGAGCCGGCGAGCGCGGGGGCGAAGTGTGCGCCTTGCGTCGCCGGGGGTGGGCGCCCTACGCGGGCGGGTGGGGGGCGGGCCGGCGGCAGCTCTGGGAGGGGGAGGCGGGCTCCGCCGGCACACGCCGCCCCTGGCAGGCGGCCTGATCGCTCGCGAGGAGCGGCTGCAGCCGCTGCCGCTCGGGGCCGCCTTGAGCCCCAGATTCCCGAGCGCTCCGCTCGCATGGCAGCCGCCTCGGCGCCCGTCCCCGAGGCCCGCTAGGGGCGGCCCCGCGCCGCGGCCCCTCGGCGGAGCCCGTCGGATCCGGCCCGGCTCTGCGTCCCGGGGCGCGCTGCCTCCCAGCCCGAGGTGAGCACCGCGAGCGCAGGGGCGCGCAGGGCTAGGGGCGCTCTGGGGAGTCCAGGCCCCGCGCCGCGGCGGAGTCGAGCGCGGCGAAGATAGGAGGGGAACGTGGGAGCAAGTCCCGGGGCGGGAGAGGGGGGAGGTGAGGTGAGGGGCGGAGACTGCTCGCTGCCCGGAACCGGCCCCCGCGTCCCCTTCGTGCCCAAGGCCATCTCTCGGCGCTGTCCTCGTCCCCGCGGAGTCCTCCGTGAGGACTGCGTTCACAGCCCGGGCCCCTCCAGCGCCTGGACCTCGCTCGGCGCTGCCCATCCTTCGCTTCCTTCCCACAGAGCCCGCTCTCGGGCTCCTGTCTCCAGTCTCCTCGCCTGCTCAGTCTTCCCCGCCTCCGCCCTCCCGCTGCCCCCCACCTCCTTCTGTCCGGACGCCCCTCTTCCTCCTCGGCTCCCATCACTTGGAACCGGAATCCAGGTCCGGCCGCCTCCCAGCCTGTGCCGTCCCACAGGTGTCCGCAAGTCCGGCCGTCCATCCGTCCGTCCTCCCGGGGCCGGCGCTGACCATGCCCAGCGGCTGCCGCTGCCTACATCTCGTGTGCCTGTTGTGCATCCTGGGGGCACCCGTTCAGCCTGCCCGAGGTGAGCGCGCCCCCGGACTCAGGTCGCGGCCCTGCCCGGCCATCTCTCGCTTGCGCGTTGACCTCTGCCGGCCAGAGACGGCACTGCAGCCGCTCGACCCTCGGGGTTGGCGAGACCTAGGTAGTCCCGTTGCGATTCGAGGAGTCTCTGTTCCGCCTGAGCCCAGAGCGAGCCCACCCAATTACTGAGACCCCTCGTCCTCCAAGCCCCGCATCTCAGGGAGACGAACCCTAGCCCCTCCTACGGGCTCACTCCTCCTACGTCAATCTCTTGCAGCCGATGACTGCAGCTCCCACTGTGACCTGTCCCACGGCTGCTGCGCGCCTGACGGCTCCTGCAGGTACCTCTGTCGAACACGTGCTCCCAAACTCCTTTGCTCCCCATTTCCCAGCAGGCCCACACCCACAACCAGGTCAAGCCCCATGGCAGAATGTCTAGGGACTTAGGATCCTCCTGTTCACTCCCTATCCCCTCATGGCCATAGGGCAGACTGGCCAGCCTCTCCTTCACCCCCAGTTCTTCTCTGCTTTGCCTCTCTTATGCTTCTTCTCGCTTATGCCTCCCCACTTTTTTACTCTCCCAAGGCTGATCCAGGAATTCTGAAATGTTCCTCAAGATACTAGGAGGAACATCTGAAGCTTGAGAGAGTTTGGAGATTGGAGCCCATGAGGAAAGGGGGTGCGGAAGATAACGATATAAAGAGAATAGGTTTAGCCTGAGAAAGAAAGGCTGCGGAGGGTTGCTGGGGCGAAGCACTCAGGAAAGAGGATCTTTCTTTATGAATCTGAGTAATTGACTCACTGGGGTGGGGGATGGGCAAATCCTGTAGCAGGAGAAAAGTGTTTCTGCACATAAGGAAAAATGAGCTGACAGGGCAAGGTGCTGGCAGTGTTTGGGCCACTCTGAAATAGTCCAGACTTAATAGGATGGGAAGATAGTCCTGATGACCTTTCAAGGTCACTCTTTTTAAACCATTTCGGAGCACCTCAGACATGCCAGGAATGGTACTGGGGTTATTTACAAATATCTTCATTTCTTCCTCAACCCATCCCTGCCAAGCGCATCTCCAGTTTACAGATGAGAACACTGAGGCCCAGAAAGGTTAGACAAAGTGCAGAACGAGGACTTGCATGCTGGTGTCTGATGGTCTGATTCGTATGTGTGTCTGATGACCCTGTACAGCCCTGCACCTACCTGGGATAGGCCTGCTTTCCCTTTAGGGGCTCTCACATGTCCCGTTTTCTAGATGCTCCGGTCCTGCCTCCTCCATTTCCTCAGATCCCCCTACCCAGATCCCTGCCCCTGTGCTTCTCCCCATCAGGTGTGACCCAGGCTGGGAGGGGCTGCACTGTGAGCGCTGTGTGAAGATGCCTGGCTGCCAGCACGGTACCTGCCACCAGCCCTGGCAGTGCATCTGTCACAGTGGCTGGGCAGGCAAATTCTGTGACAAAGGTAGGGGAGTAGAGAGGTTAGTTGTTGGGCTGGGGACCCTGTGTGTCTTAGGGGAAAATCCATTTATCAAGTACCTATTGTGTCTGGCTCAAACCCTCAAATACGTGGGATTTAATCATCTTAGACTTTATAATACCTGTTACCTAAATTGGGCCTCAACACAATCCTGTGAGGTGAGCGAGGCAGCTGCCGAAAATGTACTCGTTTTACAGATGAGGAAACTGAGACCCACAGATGAGATACAACTTGCCCAGTCACTTTGAGACAGACCGGCAGTGCCAGGGCCTGACTCCAATTCAGTGTTGTTTCCCCGCACTACACCATACAAGCTCTGGGTGGGTTTGTAGTGCGAGTCACGCCCACAGAACTTTGGGTGGGGCCTGGGCAGGTCTGGGTGCCAGGTATGAGGGGTGATCCCAGAACCTTCCCGATCTCTCTCCAGATGAGCACATCTGTACCACGCAGACCCCCTGCCGGAATGGAGGCCAGTGTGTCTATGACGGGGGCGGTGAGTACCACTGTGTGTGCCCACCAGGCTTCCATGGGCACGACTGTGAGCGCAAGGCCGGACCCTGTGAGCAGGCAGGGTGAGTGCTGGCCTGGGGGGGTAGTGGGAGGTTAGGGGAAAGTCTGGTGACAGAAGGGAGAAGGAGGACTGTAGAGAGAGTAGTGGTGAAGTATTAGGGCTGAGGGTCTGAAGTCCCACATGGGGGCACCTGAGGACAAAGCCCCAGCCTGCCAAAGTGTCTCCGGTTCAGTGTTTCCCAACTTTTTGGGTCCCATCTGAACTGCTCCCCAAAAAACAAAAACCTGCAGGAGCTGGAGGTATAACCATCAATGTGTGACTGCTCTGGTTGGGAAGGTGAGTGTGGGGAGGTTGAGGACCTAGGCCTCTCCCTGGGGAAAGCTGGCATGCAGCCCCTAAAGATGTTCCACGCAGCAGCCTGTGCCTCACTGTGAACTGAGGAAATGGGGCTGCAGGGCTGGACTTGTCCTCATTTCTGCCTCAGGCCTGAGAGCCTACGCGGATAATAATAGCACTCTTGTCTTCCGCCTGGCCTTCGTTTGACATTGGATTATCTCATTTAACTCTCACAGTTTGGGAAGCTGGGTACTATTCTTCTCACTTAAAAAAAATTTTTTTTAATGTTTTATTTATTTCTGAGAGAGAGAGGGGGAGAGAGAGAGACAGTGTGAGCAGGGGAAGGTCAGAGAGAGAGGGAGACACAGAATCTGAAGCAGCCTCCAGGCTCTGAGCTGGCTATCAGCACAAAGCCCGATGCGGGGCTCGAACCCACAAACCGTGAGATCATGACCTGAGCCGAAGTTGGACGCCTAACTGACTGAGCCACCCAGGCGCCCCTCTTCTCACTTTTTAAAAAAGATTTTATTTTTAAGTAATCTCTACACCCACTGCGGGGCTTGAACTCACAACCCCAAGATCAAGAGTTGCATGTTCTACCACCGGAGCCAGCCGGGAGCCCTCCTATTCTCATTTTTAGAATGAGGTGTTCAAGGCTCAGAGAGAGTGGCTCAAGGTGACATAGCTAGCAAGGGGGTAGAAGGGTGGCAGTGGTCAGGATGCTGACCTGGGCTACCCTGCAGATGCAAGTTGCCATCAGTGGCGTCTTTCACCCCTACTGCAGCTCTCCATGCCAGAATGGTGGGCAGTGCCAGGATGACCAGGGCTTTGCCCTCAACTTCACCTGCCGCTGTTTGGCTGGCTTCGTGGGTGCCCGCTGTGAGGTCAATGTAGACGACTGTCTGATGCGGCCTTGTGCCAATGGTGCCACCTGCCTGGACGGCATAAACCGCTTCTCCTGCCTCTGCCCTGAGGGCTTTGCTGGACGTTTCTGCACCATCAACCTGGATGACTGTGCCAGCCGCCCATGCCAGCGAGGGGCCCGCTGTCGGGACCGTGTCCATGACTTTGACTGTCTCTGCCCCAGTGGCTATGGTGGCAAGACTTGTGAGCTAATCTTACCAGTCCCCGATCCTGCCGCCACAGCGGACACGCCCCTGGGGCCCACCTTGGCTGTGGTGGCACCTGCCACGGGGCCTGTGCCCCACAGCGTGGGGGCAGGTCTGCTGCGCATCTCCGTGAAGGAGGTGGTACGGAGGCAAGAGGCTGGGCTAGGTGCAGCTAGCCTGGTGGCCGTGGTGGTATTTGGGGCCCTCACTGCTGCCCTGGTCCTGTCCACTATGTTGCTGACCCTGAGGGCCTGGCGCCGGGGTGTCTGCCCGCCTGGGCCCTGCTGCTTTCCTGCCGCGCACTATGCCCCAGCACGCCAGGATCAGGAATGTCAGGTTAGCATGCTGCCAGCAGGGCTCCCCCTGTCGCCTGACCTGCCCCCTGAGCCTGGAAAGACCACAGCACTGTGATGGAGGTGGGGGCTTTCTGGCCCCCACCTTCACCTCCTCGGCTTCTCAGACTGGAGTAGGCCTTTCTCGCCACCCCTCTCCTGGGGTACACACACTGAGGGACCTCAGCCTCACACCAGAAATACTATTTTTTTAATACATACACTGTAAGGTGGAAATGTTATCAAATAAAACCATGAAAGTGCGCACGGGCTCCTTTGCCAGAGAAACCTGCCTGGAGTCCCAGCTGCAAGAGGGCCAGAGCAGAGGCCTCGCTCCAGGGAAGCCTCAGCACTGTGTTCCCCAAGAAAGCACAGTTTCCAACTTCCCTTTTCCCCTCTGGGAAGTGAGGGAGAGGTAGAGTCACAAAGGAGACTGTAAACAAGAACCCAGCACCTCTGCACCCGCTCCGGGGTGGGGAAGACTGTAGGATGGGGCTCAGGCTCAGGGCCCTCAGGGAGAGCAGCGGGACCCCTGATGGCTGCTCTGCAGCAGCTGCTGGAACAGTGAGTGGGGCCGGCTGCGCAGGGCGGCAGGGGAGTCCAGCTCCACGACCCTCCCCGCTTGGAGCACCAGCACCCGGTCAGAGTTCAGGATCGTGTTGAGCCTGTATGGGAGAAGGTGGTCAGTGGGGGGTGGGGTAGGGTGGAGGACAAGGCCCTAAGGAAGAGAGCTGACCTGCTTGTCCCTCCTCTCTTCCCCTGGCCAGCACACGTCTGTTCCACAGACGTCAGCCCCTGGCCGGAGATAGCCTCGGACAATGTCCTATGTAAAGGAGCTGAGATTCATGGGGGATTGGAATCTCTAGAGCCCTGATCCCTGGGGTCCCTGAAGGAGGGGAGGCTCTGGGTTCCTGTCACCATGGTCACTGATTAGATTCTCGCTGTGGACATGTGCATACCTGTGGGCGATGGTCAGCACTGTCTTGTTGGCAAAGCGTCTGCAGATGGTCTCCTGGAGTAGTTGGTCTGTCTTCTGGTCCACACTTGCCGTGGCCTCATCGATACACAGGATCTGGAACACGTGGAGAGGGTTGGGGAAGAAAGGGAGGGAGAGGGTTAGCCTTGGCTCCTACCTATGCACCATCCCTCCTGGCCAGGCCCAGCCCAGCCTACAGCTCCCCACCTCCAGCTCTAAAAGGAAAAGTGTCTTAGTCTTTTTTTTTTTTAATGTTTTATTTATTTCTAGGAGAGAGAGAGACAGCATGAGCAGGGGAGGGTCAGAGAGAGAGGGAGTCACAGACTCTGAAGCAGGCTCCAGGCCCTGAGCTGTCAGCACACAGCCCGACACGGGGCTCGAACCCACGAACCGCGAGATCATGACCTAAGTGAAAGTCGGACGCTTAACCGACTAAGCCACCCAGGCACCCCGAAAAGTGTCTTAGTCTCTTGAAACCTCTCCCCAACTCACTTCCTCAGCCTGACTGTCTACTGCCTTCTTCCTGGCCCTCTTGAAGATCTCCTCCTATTGCCTTACCTTGGCATCTGTGAGGAGAGCCCTGGCCAGACACAGCAGCTGCCTCTGCCCCAGGGATAAGCTCCGGCCTCCCTCGCCCAGCTCACCGTCCAAACCACCTGCAAGGCACACCATCCTCACCCCCAGGGCCTGGGTCCCTCCCTGCTCCTTCCTGCCACCACAGGGGAGGCCCTAGTACTCACCCATGGACGTGATCACCTCACTCAGGTGGCACTGCTCCAGGGCCTGCCACAGGGCCCTATCCTCATGCAGGCCCTGGGGGTCCAGGTTTTCCCGAACAGTCCCACTGAACAAAAAGGGTTCCTGGGGGATGACAGCCAGCTGGGATCTGGGGGGCAGGGTGGGGACAGGACATGGAGTTCTGACTCGAGATGTGGCTACTGCTGTTCCTAGCACAGGTTTTTAGCTAGCCCTTCCAGGAAAGTTTGGGGCAAGATACAAACAGAATTCCCACTTTGCTCCCGAATTGGCCAGCCACATACCTAGATCTGTGCCAGGGCTATGGGGAATATCAAAAAGACACCCAAGGAGTTACTCTCAGTGAGGTACAAAACACTGAGAACAGGAGTGGAATAAACTGTATGGGCCTGACTCCAGCAGCCACTGGGGCAGCAGTGGCAAGGAATGACCAGAGTGTGAATGGGTAGGGGACACTTCAAGGTCAGAGGTGGGCCTGGAATTGGGCCCTGAGGAGCTATATGGTCGAGCTTATAGCTTATATAGGTAGTAAAGCCACCACAGGTAAGAGAAGACAGGAAGAGGGGCACCTGGGAGGCTCAGTCAGTTAAGTATCTGACTTTAGCTCAGGTCATGATCTTGCGATTTGTGGGTTTATGCCCCACGTCGGGCTCTGTTCTGACAGCTCAGGGCCTAGAGCCTGCTTCAGGTTCTGTATCTCCCTCTCTCTCAGAAATAATAAACATTAAAAAAATTTAAAAAAAAAAGAGAAGACAGGAAGAGCAGGTCCAGGCCCTGGGATCAGTAATGGGCCTTGGAAGACAGAGCTGCCCTACCTTGTGCATGTCATGGAACTCAGAAAAAGATACTAGCTAAACCTGGAGGTGGGAGTGAGGAGATGATCAGCCCCAGAAGAGGCCACTTGTGGCCAGGAGCAACTGGCCCAGGTCTCGAGCTATCCCAAGCACCGCCTGCTGAGCATCAAAGCTGAGGGCATCAGTATGGGGCACTGCCCCTGGTTCAGGAGGCAAAGACTGGTGGGTCTTGACCAGAGGCTGTGTGCTGGGAAATATGAGGTGAAGCTGGACGGGTGGGCCTGGGTCAGATTGCAGACCTTGAGACCACAGCTATGAGTCTGGACCTGACCACTAGGAGCTCGCTATCCTCACCTGCCTGTCCTATGCTCTATCCTGCCCCTGACCAGGCCTGGCCGTCCTGAGTTGATAATATAGCCGTCCTAGCTGGACCTTCCTCCAAGTGCCAGTAGTCTGGTTCCCTTTTTCTCCCTCCCCCAGACCTGAGCTCGGCCAGCTCCAGCTGGCTGGTGTCCACACCGTCCAGCAGCACTCGCCCCGAACTGGGTTCCAGCAGCCGGAAGAGCACCAAGAGCAGGGAAGACTTGCCAGAGCCCGTGCGGCCCACGATGCCCAACTTCTCTCCAGGCTGCACGCGGAAGGTCACCCCGTCCAGGGCATTTGGCAGCCCTGGCCGGTACACCAACACCACATCCTGGAACTCCACGCTCCCCTGGGTCAGCCAGCCGATGCCCAGCTGGTGGGTCCATGGGTGGGAGAGAGAGGGAGATGGGTAAGGTGGGAGAAATCAGAAAGAGAAGGGGGGATGGAGAGTGGAAAGAAGGAAGAATTAAGAGAAAGGACTGGTGCAAGAGGAAAGGGCACATGCCACAGAGATGAGGCCCTCTCCATGGACACAAAGATGAGGCACGCCCTGAAGACTGCGGGATCACATGAGGACCCGAGGGGAGCCGAGATAGTGAGGAGCGAAAGGAAAGAAAGCAGGGGAGAGACAGGGCACGTCAGGAGGAGCCTCCAGGGTGCCGTGCCCTGGCCTGGGGCAGGGGTGCAGGCCTACCCGTGGCAGCTGGCCCTGGGGCTCTTGGGGCAGGTCACAGGAGTACTCCTCCAGCCGCTCGACGCTCACCAGCATGGCTTCCGTCTGCGTGAAGCTGCTCACCAGGCCCGAAAGCAGGCCCGTCAGGGACAGGGCGTAAGACAGTGCCAGGCCCACCAGTCCTAGGGGAAAGGAGCACAAGCCACTAAGGGATTACTGCACATGGGGGCGCATGTGGGAGCAGGGGTGGGGCGAGGTGGGAGAATTCCAAACTGTGGGCTGTGGGTGTAAAGGAAGCCAGCTGAGAAGCAGAAAGACACCAAGACCTAGACAGGGACCACAGGAAGCTGGCCACAAGGGAGCGCAGTGGGCCTGGAGAGGCTGTGAGGGAAGACACCGGAAGCCGGGCCTGGCAGAGTGCTGGGGATGGGGCAGAGCAGGGAAGGGGTGAAGATCAGAAAACAAGTCCCACACCCACCACCACTTGGGCGAGTCTCTCCCTAGGACTTAGTTTCCTTGACTCTAAAATGTGGGCAATGAAAATCAAAACACCTCCTCCCAGGACCCCCTGGGTGGGAGGTGAAATGTTGGGGGGGACAGTGCAGGGAGAGGTCTGGGGCGGGGGGATAACATGCTTCTGAGGTGCGAGGTGGCACCTGGGTTGGCGAGGCCCTGCTGGTGCTGCACCAGGGCGATGCCCGCGATGGCGCTAACCACGGTGGCCCCCATGAGCTGCAGCCGAATGTCCAGCCACTGCATCGCGGCGCTGGCCGCAAACTGGCACCTCTGGTTTAGCTCCAGGAGTTTCTGGTTCTCCTCTTCAAACCTGGGGAAGGCCAGGGGGAAGCGAGGCCATTCCATTGTTGCACTGACCCATCCAGACTCCTTCCCCGAAACGTGTCCTTCTTGGAGCTGATCTATACACCCATAGGCCTCTACTCAGGGGTATGGAGGGGCCAATGTTTAGCCTCACTATCCTTTTATTCTATCTCCTTCCTCTTTCTCCCAGGGCATTGCACTCACATGCCCTTCTTCTCAGTGGTCCTACCCTCCCCTGGCACCTCACCCCCCAACCCACCCCCACCTCCCATCCTGCTCCCCTCCGTGGCTGAGAGAGGCAGACTTCATACACCTGTAGGTGGCTCCGGCGGCCCGGAGCACAGTGAGGCCAGCCAAGGTGTCAGCCAGGTGGGTGTAGAGGGGGGACAGCGTGAGGCTGCTCAGGCGCCGCAGCTCCCGGGACGAGGCCCTGTAGTAGCGCTGCACACGGTAGTAGATGATGCTCAAAGGCGGCAGCAGCAGTAGCAGCCAGGGCAGGCCGGAGCCCAGCACAGCCAGGAGGCCCAGAAGGCCTACTGCGTTGGCCAGCAGGATGTTGAGTATGAAGGGAAGGCTGTCATCTGCACAGGCCACGTCGGAGGAGAAGCGGTTTAGGACCCGGCCAGCGGGTGTAGACTCGAAGAAAGTCACTGGTGCCTTGGAGAGAGGGTGTGGTTACGCGAAGGTGGGGCCTGGCAGAAGAGGGGTGGGGACAGCACTGGGGGCAGAGAAGAGGGGCATGTGGAGCTTAGAGGGAGACTATCCCAGGGTGGGAAAGATATTCTCCCATCCCTCTGGCCAGTGGTGACCCTAAGAGGCCATGCTGGCCATTCCTCTACCCCCTTGCAAGACGTGCCTACTCCCCTCTCAAGG